AAATCTAAGCAAACGTTTCTGCAAAAGGCTATCGAGAAACTAACGTTCTTTTAAAAGGCAGGACAATGATTTTTGTACCACAAAAAAGGTCTTTCAAAAATATTGACCAAGTTGTGGAAATATTTTGACAAGATATTATAGCGTAAATTTATTCAGTTTGGTGTTGACTGAAGTTAAAGAGCACTTGTAACGCCGTCATGTCCACTTTGCATTTTTAAACATACAAACACCCGAACTAATAGAGACAAAAGTTTGGGTGTTACCTATAATATTTGGATTATGGCATTCCAATCGAAACAATTTACATAAATTTACATGGAGATTAAAAAGAAAATTCCCCAGATTTAATACTATTAAAATGTTTTATTTGAAGATTCAAAAAATAGATAAGTACCTATTAACATTAAATTGTTTGTTCGCTCGTTTACGCAATTCACACCTCAAATTTTTAAGTAATTACCAAATTTACATTATTTTTAACGCTTTCGGATTGGCTTAATGTTATACATATACAGGCGCAAATATTCTCACGAAGCGTCAAATATTTCATTAAATTACGTGAGGCCTTCAATGATGTCTCTGCTTTATTTGTTATGTATAAAAATAAATATATCGGTGTTCTTTTAATCTAAATGGATACATAACATTAACAAGACGTAATAAATAAATAGTGTTTATTAAATATCAATATTACTTAATATAATTCGATCTACGAAAAGAAAAATATTTATTCAGTGAAGATTGAGACATTATACCCTCGAAAAAAAATTAACAAAGTAAGCTATCATTACACCAGTTGAACAATGAAAATATTGTTCCATTATTGAAACAATGAAAAAGAAGAAGAAGAATAAAAAGACAATAATTTTTACAATAAATTACAGCTATTGTTTACATACAGATAATACTGAATATCATATTCACTTACCTAAATATGATTGTTTACATATTTGGAATTGTACTCCCAATAAATAATTTTAATTTAAAGAAATAAAGGATAAGTAATTTAATTGGGACAGTCAGGCTAAATTCATTTGTCAGGCGACTATGATAATTTTGGAATAAGCTTGGTTAGTTTGTTCGGAATTGATCAGCTGTTTATTAAGGTTAATGTAAACTAAGTATACTAATTTATTTTTATTTCATTGTGAGGCAAAATAATAAGTGCAACTCGTGAAGAATGGTCAGTTCTGAACCCACATTCTTGCCACGCTCGCGCATCAAATGAATGCTCAATTAGTCGATGTAAAAATGTTATTAATTAATAATGTGTCATAAAACAAAAACTAAATAAAAGCTATTTTTTTAAATTGTCAATTTTCTGTATTTTAGAAACAACTGAACCACTAATAAACTGCTAAAATGTGTAATTTAAACGATGCGTTTCTTATTAAGGCTTATAAAACATTTTGAATAGTTCAAAGGATATTTTCAAAATCAACAGTTTGTATACGCGTTACCAAAATGATGATTTAAAGTAAAGACTAAAAATGTTAACAACTTTTTTGTCTTTTTTTATTCCTCAGAAATTGTTTAATTTTTTTTATATTGACCCGGAAGGCATATTTTTTATGTAAAAGTTAATACAAAGTTGATTTGTCATCTTCAATTAATAAGATGATTTTATTATACCTACTGTGTATCTTTTGTACTTGACACCTCTTAGGTGGCGCCAATTATACAATAGACGGCTGAATTGATATTTACCAGGTACCGAACATTTGTTACTTTCTGTTGATGGGCCAGTGTTGTTCCAAAATAAAAATAAATGATGCAAAGGAGAAAAATCATTCAAACTGTTTGATGTTTTGATTAATGTTAACACTTAATGGCTAACACATTTGGTGTAATAAAATACATTGAAATTAAATGTATATCTTGAAAAAAAGTGATTTAAATACATTCTTTAACAATGAAAAATTTTTTGTAGGAATAACACCATAGGAAATAAAAGTAAACACTTAAAGACATTAGGAATTTCAAGTGTTCTTGCAAAATAACCAATAGATAAACAAGTAATTGCCTATTTGAGTTCACACGAAGAAAAAGCTTTCTTAATAAATTATTTTTAACGGTGAAATTAATTATCATTAAGTTATTATGTTATTCAATTAAAATGTTGTTTATGGACTTTAAATATTAAAGAAAATTAATAGAAAAACCGTTAAAAAAATTATTTAGAATTTAAGGTCATCATTCTTCGCAATAAAATATGATGAAAAAAGTGATAAGGAACCCTGAAAATTATGAGTTAATTAATTAAACAATATTTAAATGAAACTGGTAGATATTTTTTTTAGATGAAGTTTTTGACCTACAACTAAATTGTTTAAAGAAATAAGAATTATTGAAAAGGCAAGTGAATAAAAGGGTTAAGTACATTTTTTAAAATAAAGAACAAAAAATTATGTAATTGCAATACCAAATTAGGTACTTTTATTTGAAATCAAAATTATTTGTCTTCTTTTATTCTCTTTAAAATTGTCTTATTTTTCTTCTTATTTTAAATTATTCCACTAGTAGAACAATGCTTACTTTGTTCATTGTTTTTGAGCGTATAATATTTATATTCCACGTAAGTGTGGGATTGTGCAACTAGTGCGAAAAATGGCCGATTATAAACGAGCATTTATTTTATTTGCTCGCTAGCGACCGTGGCGTAGCGGAAACTTTATCTACTCCAATAAGTAGATACCCCAGTAACACAAAGATATTGGCCAAATATTCCTAATAATATTGGGCCAATATATCTTTCGTCAGATTTTTTCTAGCATGGTCCAATATTGAAACCCAACATTGGCCCGAAATTGTTTGACATTATATAACCGATATTGGAAATCCGCATGGGCCCGAAGTTGTTTTACATTATATTCTAGGAAAGTTAAGGGAAAAATTGAAAGAAAAAAAAGATAGCCACCTAGTACTTACTATGTAGTAGATTTCTAAAAGTGATATGTCACGATCGTGTCGACAAACGTTTGTTTAAAGGAAATGTTTATAGTAGGTACTTAGGGGCGCAGAAGCGGGGTGGGTGACAATGCCCACCCAAATGGCAAGGGGGAGAGGGGGGTTACTTGATATAAAATGTATCCTCCAAATTATTTGAAAAAATCTACCAATAAGACAAGTCGTGTACCGTCTATGTTATTCTTAATTACCATGAAATGCTAAAATCGTTTGTATCGTGTGCTTAAATGATCAGCTTGTACTTTATTAACGTAATAACGAATTGTATTGATAAATAAGACAAGAAATCGCTTATAACCCTTGTTATTCTTACGGTAATATTCAAGAATGGCCTTTATTATTTTCACCCATTTGGTGCTAAAAAATAAGGATGGTTGTCGGTTGCGCCACCCCCAACTTAAAACCGTTCCTGCGCCACTAGTATAGACATATCCTGGAAACAAACGTGTGTCTTTACATATCACTTTTAAAAATCCGAAAGCATCGTTGACTACTATAATAGTTATTGATATATTGGCGTAAAATAATATGCCAATATAGGACCAACCTTGGATAAACATTGGCAATGATATATTAAATTATCATTTTATGCCAATATAGGGCTAGCATCGGCTAAATAAATTCAATATTGGCCACAGACAAAATATTGGGCATAGACACTCCCCATATAGAACCAATATTTTGTGCTACTGGGGTAGGTAATTAATTGATTTTTAAAAATAAATAAATAAAATCTGATATCTGTAAAATGGTTAACCTTACTTTTTACCAATTTTAAATGATATTATAGTTGCCTTCTTCCAATTTAAAACCCGATTGGTTTAAATCACAGTGAATATTGAGATCGGCCAATCACTGATGCCTAACAACTTGAATAATGAGTTAATTATTCCCGTTGTTAGGCAGGGAATTTATAATGTTTATTAACAAAATACAATATTATGCAATAGGAGTAGATAAACGTAATTTTTTAAAATTGACAATACAAAAAAGCTTATCATGTACAAAAGAACTGACGAAGCTTATTTCAAAATCATAGTCGCCTGTTATATACTACCTAATATCTGTCAAAAGAATTAACCTAACTATTTCTCAATCAAATTATTTCCTCCTTATTTCTTTCAATAAAAACTATTAAATAGAAGTAAAATTTTGTTTGAAAATTCTTTATCTTTTTTTTTGTTTAACTAGTAGCTTAGGTAGGTACTAATTTTTTTCGATTGTATAATGTCTTAATTCCAAATTTACTTTTAATTAAAATGTTACTTCATCTCCTTAAGTTATTGTATATTTTATCCCACAAACATTTTAGTAAATTATTTATTTTTTGTTAGCAATTACTACAATTATTTTAAGTATAAAACTATTTAATTTATCCATTTTTTATTATGTGTAATAATGAAAAATATTAAAATATTAAGAAAAATAAAAAATAAGTTAAACAACACAATTATTTTTTACATATAGGGTGACCCAGAAGTCGCGAAAACCCAAAACTGTAAAAAAAATCTACCTTCATTATTAAAAAAGATACATATTTTTAAATGGCAACATTGCACCAATGTGGTGCGCTAGTTCTCTGCACATATTTTTGCATTTATTTATAAATAAAATATTAGGCAACCTTTATAACACCAAATTTAATGTGGGTACCCCAGACATAAATACTTTTTTAATATTTCAACTGTGCAAATAAGAAAATATCTATTTTTGATGAAACAACTTTTGGATATTTTTGTTTGAAATAACTCCCGATAAATTACTGTATCAATTTAAAAACATAAAAAATAAAAAGGATTTTTAGAGGAAAACTTAAAATATAGTGAAAATAATAGATGTTTTTAAAAACATATTTGATTAAATTGAATACTGCTTTAACTCTTACATAAAAAACAACGTCTAATGATAAAAATACACGCAAAAGATTGTTAAGGCACTAAAGTACATAACAATATTGATTAGATATAATAACGTTGTTTACAGTCAATAAATAAACAATAGAAATTGAAGGAGTAAAAATCAAACGTACTTACAAATAAAAATATTCCCATAGATCAAAGTATACTCATAATAATCACTTGATCCTTTGCAATTTTCCCCATGCTTGAATTGCTGTAGTGGATGGTAGAAAATCGCAAAGAAGAGAATAAAACAGCACACCACTTCACAAACAATTAGTGAAACACGCACGGGTACCACCGTTTGTGACGATACAAGCGGCTCTCGGCTCGCGATCTGCAAGGTACCAAGTCGGTACTAGCAACGGTAGACACTAAAAGACGTAAGAAATACTCCCACAAACGGTCCGTCCGTCTGAGTGACCGATAGTGCCGCCGGGATTTCTTGTGTAAATAAACGCGGTTTCGACTTGGGTACTCTCGATATCAGTACCTTCGAAACGTCGTCGGACGCGAAACTTGCATGGGTACGCCTTATCGATTCAAACGAGAAAAGCTCCGAGGCAATATTTCAATTTTTGCTGACCAAGCTCAAATCGCGCTGCATGCTTACCGAACCAGTCATTCATTATAACGATCGGATTTACATATGGCATCGCCAAAACAAGTTGCAATTTTTAGGGCAAATAACAAGACTATTTTTTATTTACAGTTAAGTGTATGTATGTATGTTTTATCATACAGGGTTTGATTAAAGGCAACCCGCCTCCTTTGCATATGATTTTATTACATTTGTTGATTTAGTTTTTGAGCCTATTTTTTTTAAATGAACTTATATTTTTGATATTTTTGCAATGCTTTATGAATATAATGAAATTTTACAAAACTTTTGTAGTCGGTTTTTATAAAAACAAGTAGACTACTACCTATACGGAAAATACGCTTTTCCATTTTATATTTTCTCTTTGTATGTTAGTTTATAAAAATAATGGTTTTGATGTATGTAATTGGATTAACTCATTTATTCCAGTGGCGTCCCGGGACATCTAAGCTGTTATATGGGCGTACTTCTGCAGAAAACTCTTAACCCGTAAATTAGCTATAGCTATATAAATTTTATTCAGAAAAAATTTTCAAACCCTATTTTATTTCTATTAATATAGTCATGAAATATAGATAAATATATACATGGATTTAAATGTATTTAATCTATTTTTGTATTTTAGTATCATAAAAACTACCTATTCATTAAAAATGGATTTATTGCGTTTTGATAAAAGTAAACTTTAACATCAATTAACACAAAAGAATTGTTAAGAGAATAACCCTATATTTTTTACATTTTGGAATTCTCTTTTTAATATGTTTATATTAGGAACTAATTCAACAAATAACCAATACACAAACCACCACTATACTTTATACTTTTTCTTAAGAATTTAGATCTCCATTAATTTGCAACCTCACTGTATTTTAACTATATAGGTAAGTATTACATATACATATATAAATTTTTTCAAGGGTACACTAATATTCATATCAAAGACCTTATTTTAATACTAGTTCAGAAGTAAAGCTAAAAAATAAAGCCTAAGGTGCAGTTGCCCACCCCCTGACTCTCGACTGAATCACTGTATTTTAACCAATTTCAAAATTTAGGTGCACTATACACGGTGGTCAAAACTATAGGACGAACAAAAATGCCAACCAAAACTGATAGCATAATCTGATTATAGACTCTTTTGGTAACACAAACATGTATTTATCAAAATCCCAGCTGATCCTTTATTAAAGTTTTGCATATTTCTTAGTATTTTAAAATTGTTTATGCCATTTCGATAAAATACTCTAGTACCATTATCAAATGTTTTTAAAAATTTGGCAGATACATGACTGAAATATTGATAAATTACATTATAAATACAAAATAATGTAAAATACAGTTTTAAGGTACCTAATACAAAACTAATAAATAACTAAAGATTCTTTAAAGCAAAAGCGATTACTGCTTGCCTTAAATTTTCAGTAAAACTTTTTCTTGGGTTTTACATGTAATTGTTTTTAACATGGAAACAGTATTTTTAAATTCTTCAGTCTCTGTGCAAACATGCTTCTTACATCTAGCGATATCCCCTAGAAAGGAAGAGCATATCAAAACTTTAGTTCGTTCGTCCGTCCTCTTCCCTTAATAATTTTGTATGCCCTTTATATCTTGCCATTTTGCAGATAAAGCACATACATTCTTGGCTGCCGCGAAATTCTCTAGCAATTTCTAAATTTTGAAAATTTGGCAATTGTGGCCAAAGATAATAATAATAATAATAATAATAATAATAATGGAGTGTATTATCTTTGATTGTGGCTATGCAAAAATACCGTTTTTACCATATTGAAATAGGTAATTTTGAATCACTTAAGTTAAATTGTTCGTTTGAAAAAGTCTGCAGTAATTTTTATATTTTCCCTAAACTCTGAATTTTTCGATTACCAAAAACAATTTTGTCTCCACAGCCAGCACATACCTTCTTTCTATTTTCTTTATGGCTTAACTTGAATTTCGGTTTAATTTTCATTTTAAAATAGTATTTTTAACTTTATAAAGTATACATTAAATAAACAACTAAAGCAAAATGTCACTTGCGTTATAACGTATAGCAATTTTTTTATAACCACCTTAATTATTGTTTTACAAAATTTGCAAGTTGTAATTATTTCATAGACAAACTTCCAGTATTTTATGTTATAAAAAATATTTAAGATATAAATCTTCGTTTTTTTTGTTATGTTTTGTTTTGATTGGTAAAAATAATAGACTCAATAAATTAATACTGGGGAGTAAAGTAATTTAAATGAGACAAAGTTTATTATTTTGCTTAATTTTATTAAAATCGTACAGGTAGTTTTAGTACAATAATTGCAAAATAATATATAGAAATAGAAAAACAAAAAAGTTTGCAAAACTTTAAAATAGGATCAGCTGGGATTTTGATAAATACATGTTAGTGTTACCAAAAGGGTCTATAATCAAAATATGCTATCAGTTTTGGTTGGCATTTTTGTTCGTCCTATACTTATGTTTTGACCATATACCTATGTGTATTAAATGCAAGTATTACATGGATAACAAACTAAAATGGAGTCAATTTTTTTAGAACTTATTTTTTTATTAAAATCACACAAAAATTTCACCCCCATAAACGAACTCCTCTGGATCAACGGCAGCCTCGGCTGTCTCCTCGGTTATGAAATGTATGCTCGGCGATAATGTGTAGTTCCTCCGCCTGGTCTATAATACTCCCACCTTTAAAAAGCTCATTATCGTACATGTTTCCACTATAAGGGATCTTTTAAATACACACAAGCTTTGACTTTATGGCGATTTAGTCACGGCCTAAAGTTAGCTTTAAGTTAGTTGCGGTTGTCAAATGTCGAAATAAATTGCCCTTCTTGTAAAATAATACTAAAATGTTGAAATTATTACAACAATATTAAATAGTTTCTGGACGCACATTTTAAAAAGTTTATATGCACTCATAATTTAGGGTGAAGTACCCATAAAAACATAATTTTTCTTTTCATTGTGAAAAACTGCTTTTATTTTGAATGTTTTAAATGTTTTAAAGAGAAATTATTTTTAAAGACAAATTTTTACAATCTGACACTAAAATTTAAAAATTTTCAACACCAATTTTGGTTACTCTATTTTTGTATAGATGTCAGTCTATAGAAATATTTAAATTAGTAATAAAGTATTTGTCTTTAAAAAGGTACAGTATAGGTTACTATAGTACCTTTATACTTTTAACTCGTTTATAAACACTCGTTTTTATTAAACACTCGCTGGCAAGTTTCCCTCATGCTTAATTAAAACAAAATGTCGTTTGTCAACACATAAATTATGTAACGTAAATATACTATTAACAATTAATTTTCAAAAGCAACCATTTTATTTAAATTGGTAAAGTCCTTGTGACCCAGAACCTTAATGTGAGACATTTTTAATTCTTAATTGCCATGACGCACGATCTAGATGGTGCCGTAATTCATAGTCTTTCCATGAATCAAATGGTTTTTCGTCAACCGTGTATATATCTTCATTAGGAAGCTTAACTTTTTAACAGGTAATTTACGTTGCATAAATAAAAAATAATTTATTAATTTAAATATAGCGTTCGTGCTCATTAGTTGGTGATTATATTAAATTTGAAATTGTGAAATAGATGCATAGTGGCCCAGGCCGTTGCAACATGTTTTTAATAAGAAGCATATAAGATAGGCGTAAATATTAAAATTTGTCACAGAAAATATTTCATTTTCAATTAATTTTTACTTGTAGGTAACCGTTTAGTACAAATCATTTTTGTTTACATAACAGTCAGGTGGTTATTACGGTAAACATATTGGTTAGAATTAAGTTTACCTGTGCCTTTTGACTGTTTCCAAACGTATACACACAGTGGGTCAGAAACAATAACTTCCACCATTTATTTTAAACAACTGATCTCCGTTTGTTTGTGTTATAAATATTGAGATATTCTACTGACATTATTTACATTAAGTATTTTTTACATAATACAATTTTTATCGGTTTTAAATTGCTACACGCGTCATGACGGGCTTTTTAGTCACAGCTAAAGTTAGCTTTAAGTTAGTTTACAATAATCAAATGTCATACAATCGTCAAAATAAAGCGACTATAATGATCTTTACAAAGTAAGTTTAGAATCGTCTGACATGTCAGATTTTATTTATTTATTTTTGAAAATTGTTTAATTTTTTTGTTTGTCGTCGAAAAAGTTAAGCATGCAACGCTCGTACCTTATTAAGACTTGTGACTGGCGAAAAATAATCCTACCAAAAAAAGTTTGTACCTACATCAATATATCATTTTTATAAAGTATAACACAATTATAGAAATATACATCTTGTAAGAACAATAATTGTTCTAAATTATTATTATTCTATATTTAGAGAGTTTTCAAACTTTATGTTTAGGCTTAAGTGCATAATGCAGTAATCTTGTTTCTATTGTTTATCTGCTAAAATTAAAATGGTTTAATCCTTTAAGAAATTCCCGAAACTTGGGTCTCTAAAAGTATACCTATGAAATTCTACCTTTAATGTTAACACTATTTAAAGATTCTTAAAATTATATTTTAAATAAACAGATATAAGTATCCTATTTTTTTGGAAAATGCAAAATATGTTATAATAATTTAAAATGAAGGCTTTTAAGAAAGCCTTATTTTTTTACCTCCTCAATATACCTGTTACGAACAAATCTCTTATTGTATAACGTTGACATTGAACAGAATTTTTTTGTACAATATTAAGATTGAACACCTTGTATGCTTTACACCCAAGCTACTTTGATTTTATTTACTTAAAATAATACAAAATATGTATTTTTTGTGTTATAAATTTGGATCTTTATACACAAAAAATACAAATATTTTTCTTACTACCTCGACTGAAAAT